TTCCTGTGTCTATGGCATTCTCCAGTAAAGCCAATTTGGAGGAAAGAAAGAAAATACCTACTGTTCCATGATTGTGTCCTAAGGGTTTAAAGCTCACTGGGGAGCACACGTGAGATCTCATCCAATAAATACTCTGGGGTCTTGACTCTGACTTGTCATGAATTTGGCATTCTCATAATGTTTTTTCTCTTAAAATACGTCTAAGCAATTGTTTTTGCGTGATGGCTATGTGTGCGTATGGGTCTTAAAGAAACTGTTGTGGATGGAAGTGTGGGCATCAGTGGTACCAGAAGGGCTGGTGGCCCTGGGGGCTGTCCAAGCTCCACACCATTTGTTACCAGCCGTCTTTCAGATTGCATCTTATTCCAGAGCTTATCGGGGCTCCCATCTCTCAATATGTATCTTGAGAGAATATTTGTTCAGAGGGAAGGGGATGGGGTGCTTCCAAGTCTGGGTTCTGGGGTTCCCTGCCTAAAGGTGGTACTGGCACAAATCCTTTTTTCGTGGAGTAATGAAGTCCCCCAGCCTCATGGCTAATTGGGCCTCCCTTTCCTTCTTCATGTGAGGAGACTGAGGGCTTCAGTAAGGCCCCAAAACCTGTTTTTGGTGAGCTTTCAGCCCTATCACACCACCTGAGTTGTCCCGTTTCAGTCACATACTTTGATTTTTGCACGTAGGTGTGAATCCTGGACAGTGCCTGGGACTTCCAGGTTTCTCCTACAGTAGGGACACTGAAGAAGGTTCACACCATAAGGTGTGTTCGGGGGCATTGAGGACAAGTAGGGACTCACAGACAGATATCTTGATGGGTGGCAATCAGGCCCGAGTCTTGGAAGAACAGAGATTCCGTTACTGTTGTAACAGTGAACTTGAGGGAGGAATTTGGGAATATCTGATGCAATTGAGATTAAAAATATTATATGGTTTTTATTGTTAGCAGTAGTGGTTTTTAACCCTTAGATCCAGTCCCCCCTTTTTATAATAAATATTTTGTAACCTTTCTTTTTTGGTGCCCAAAAGTGAACATCATAGGAAATGTAACCTAACTATAAATATGACAAACAAATAGACAGGTAGATGGAAATATGTAGTACCTAAATTCTTATATAATGGGATATTTTATATTCTATGCTAATTAGTGACCTCTCAGGACAAAAGGCACATACAAAGGAAGTCACTTCTAATAAACTATTTTTCCAAGCCTTACCTAACTGGGAAACAAGTGGCTTCACAATGTTAGAGCACCTCCCAAGTCCCCGGGGAAAACTCCTTGTCAGAGTTACACTTGCTGATGGTGTCCTGTGCCAAGTGCAAGCAAATGTGGTTTGGAAGCTGCCCAGAGGCCGACTCCGGGGATTCCTTCTCTGTCGCAGCTGTGAGGGAGCCTTGCCTTTCCTGACTGCAACCACAGAGGCGATTTTAAATCTCTGAAAACAGCCATACCAGTGTATATCATAACCCCCACAAGATATGTTGAATAAAGTAGAAAACTTTAAGATAGGATATAAAATAAACCATGATTTAAAAAATTCTAGTGCCCTAATAACTGCTACATTACACTGGCTGCATTATTAGGTTAGACAACTTCATTACCACTTTTCATACCACATATCGTAGTTAGATTTTATTTACATTTTTTCCCTAAAAAAAAAAAATTCATATGATGCGTTCTTGTGTCAGAGGTGACGAGCAGAGAGCAAGTGTAAAACCGGGAATCATGATGCTCATCAGTCTAATGTCAGCTCCGTCACCGCACAGATCATCTTAACTCATTTTACTGCAC